TTTTAATCATGTCATATAGAATATTTATATAGTGATATTCCTTGTTTTACTGTCAAAATACATATGTGAAACTTTCAAGCTTTTTACATGCATGTTTGACATCATGTCTATTGCTGTATTTTGAGTCATATATCACAATACTACAAACCACATCATCTTCAGGTTCATCTTTGTCTGAAAAATAGCATTTTTTCAATCTGCGTATGATACTGTTATTGGAAATACCGTGTTATCAAAAGCACCAGTATGTACACATTTTTTCTGTTATTGTTGTTTGTTTTTAAACTTTTCTAGATGGATAAATGTTATATCCACAATGCGACTTTTGACTCTATGCTTATATAAGTGATTTTTAAGAGCGTGACTTACAAAGACAGCCAATTATGGGATTTTTCAAAACAACACACCCAGGAAGAGTTACTGAATTTCCTTGTGTGTCTTCTTTTTCTCCACCCCCTCCTTATCCTTTCCTCCCTGCACTCACTCTCATTCTGCTCCTTCCCTTATGGTTCCTCTCCTTTCTCCTTTAGTTGTAACCAATTCTATTGCTAACATCTCTAAGCATCCCCAAATAACCTTGACTCAGGTCGTTTGATCATAATATGCCTCCCCAAATAATACTTTCCCAAACTTCACAGGTCAAAATTAAGCAATTTAGAGCCATCTGTGTTATGACACATCATGTAAAAATTCACCTATAATTTGCTTCTCATTTAGATAGATACTCAGATTATATTACATTTGGTCTTTACAAAATCTTTTAAGGCAGGGGTTACCATACTATATTTTAAACATTATGGAAACTGAGACTGAGGACTTCCTTAATTATTCAAGCTCTGTCTGATCCCCAAATCCTTTTTATCATTACATTACATTGATATTTACATAAAGGTGGTAAGATAAATTTTAGCTCTCCTGCTGTCACATTCTTAAATATGTAACTTCAATTTTCTCATTCCATCAATCTATATTTTTGAGTTGTAAGTATGATGACAATTCAAAGTTTGTTGAATTTTGGCTCCTGCTGTTTAGTCCTTAGTGAAATACCCATGCTTCCTACCCTTCTAGTATTTTCAGACTCCTAAGGCACGTATACAAAACTCTTTCCTCTCCCAGTAAAATGTAAAGCACCTTTCCAAATCAGTATCTACAGTCCACCAATTTCCCATGACTAGACATATTTAAGCCTCTCTGGTCATGATTAAAGTAAGATCTGTGCAAATGTGTTTGTACCAAACTCTAAATGTGTGTATGTATGTATCTATCTATATACATATTATTTACCTTTGAGTAACTATTTTTAATATATTTATATATTTCACATGCAAGAAGTGTATATGTATGCTACAAATCTTTTATCTATTAAATATAACTGTATTTAACAACTGCATGATGATTTCATTTAGCTGCATAAGAAATTATTATGCTGATTTATATCATAGTCTAGACAAATATTCAAATTCTTTCTGAAAAAGAAAGATACAAATTTTAGTGATTATGAATTATTTTAATCTATATAAGTTTACTTTCACATATTTGTTTTTGAAAACATTTCAATGTTGATAATTGCTATAATGTAAATAAACACAGAACATTCACATCCAGGATAATTTCTGCCTGTAAAAAAATATTTTAAAATAGTGTTATGGGTTGAATTGTACTCCCCTCTCTCCCCCAATCCATATATTGAAGTCTGAGCCTCCAGGATCTCAGCATGTGACCTTATTTGGAGATAGGGTCTCTAAAGAGATAATTAAATTAAAATGAGGCAATTAGGGTGTCCTTATAAAAAGGGAAATTTGGACACAGAGACACACACAGAGGGAAGATTATATGAAAGACACAAGGAAAAGATGACCAACTACAAGAGAAGGAGACAGGCCTAGAACAGATACTTCCCTCATAGCTCTCAAAGGAACCAGCCCTACCAACACCTTGATTTGGACTTCCATCCTCCAGAACTGAGACAATAAATTTCTGTTGTTTAAGCCACCCAGTCTATGGTACTTTGTTATGGCAGCCTTAGAAAGCTAACACAATACCATTGTGAAATATTTGCTTATACACATCCATGTAAATGGACTTTATTGCCTTTGCTGGAATGCAGATTTTAATTTTAGTTTCATTATTATGATTATAAACAATATACAGAAATTTTATTATGGATTTATTTCTGCTACAAATATATTTTTCTGCATATATATTTTCTCTCTACTGCATTCCTTTTAAATGAATTAATATTTTTAAATAACTTTTATTAGATATTTCAAGAATTTCAATAAAAATGTCAGGTAAAAATAGTAAGATGGGGCAACATTAACAGGTTTATTTTATACTGTTTGTAGGACATAGTATTTCTACTATTTCCAGTGATTTAAGTTCCATTTTTAGCGGAGTGATTTTGTACTTCAAAAGAAATCGCATCTAATTTTCTACAGAACGGGTAGGGATTTATTTTTAAGAGACTGCTATGAAAGGTATTACATGAGTGAAAGTTGCAGAATTGTTACCATTGTGTTGATTAATAATAGACTTGATTCTTCCAAAGTGTATTCTGTTGTCTGTAGGTAATGCAGAAGAGCTTCTAGAAAAGGAGAGAGGAAAAATTAAAGAATAGCAATTATCAGTCAAAAATAAAATAGCTTTGCTCAGGAATAGGAACCCATGGAGCTTATGCCAGCAATTGAAACTTCAAAATTTTTCAGAGGGGTAACTAGAAATATATGGATTTTTCAAACCCTACCATCTGCCTTGATTTACCTTCCAATGAATTGAAAGTTGCATCTCTGAAATTCAGATATTTAGGGCTTGCTTGAATCCTCTGGCTGATGCTTTTTCTAAATATAGCCATTAAAATTGAAACCATTTTCTTCACAGACATGCTTGAAAATTTGGGTATTTGAATGTGGATAGTTTGGGGATATTTTTCTGGAAAAATAGCATAATTTAAAAATAATAGAAAATATTACCTGGATAACTACCTAAAGACATTTGTTACTTAGTGGAAATTGTTCTCAAATTTTACCTCTTTGTTCTTTTTTGTTCTTCAAATGTTTGTTTATTTCATGCCAAGGTAGTGGCATTATAAACTCTGCAGAACTTACTAGAGCATTTATGCCATATTTCAAATTGAAAGCAGGCTTGACAGCAGGGTAGGACTTGAGTATTTCCCAAGCTACAGGGTGACTCCTTCTGTTTCAGAAGTCGATAATGTGATTAAATTATTCCAGTAGTATAGCTTCAAAGATACTCACCAAATATCTCAAGAATTTAAGGATAATTTGTATTTTCTCAGATTCTGTTTACTTGATGAGTTTTCCAAGTTAGGAAGAAGAGGGAGAATTGGATTGATATCCCATCACACTATGAATATAATGGGTCCTTAAAATCCAAGTGAGAACTAGTGGAATATTTTCATTGCATTGTAGTATATGTTTGCCATATGTCTTCGGTATCTCAAACTGAGTCCCGTATTAGATATGAAAAGATGTCTGTACCCCTCCTTTTGGTAAACATTATGATTAAATTGTGAAAGAGAATGAAAGTTGCATCCTTGGGACTAGAGTAGCTGGATGATTTAAATAATCATAATTTTAACTTTTATTTTAATGAAATAAATCAAGTTGAAATTTTAACTTCTCTAGGTTAGTGAAAGAATGAATTTTATTTTATTTTAACTTCTCTAGGTTAGTGAAAAAATGAAATAAATCAAGTTGAAATAAAAAAAATGAAGATGCAGCTTCTAAAACATTGAGAATCTTCACTTCTGTTAAAAATAATTAAAATCTTCAATGATGATAGAGTGTTTTTCTTAAGAAATAATATATATACATAATTGGGTTTTACTCAAAATTTGCTTTTTACATTTTGTAAGCCACCTTTGAAGTGACTTGTGTGATGCAACTAGATGGCAAATGCAGAACGGTATTTAACATGGCTGATTATGACATAGCTTTGCCTTTCCTCATATAAATAATATGTTCTTACCCAGATTCAGCCCAGGATCAAATGTCATAAAAATGCATAATAGTATATTTCTATGCTACTTTGAAAAAGAGCTGTTGTAAGGATGAAATGTCCGACATACGTAACTTTTAGATCAGAGGCTGCCTGTAGTAAGGAAATAATAAATAAAAAGCAGTTCACTATAATTCAACAAATGTTCATACATTTGGAAATTTAATTGCTAAAGTTAAGATTGGTAAATGTTAATCACAGTGACACTGTGGAGAGTATTCCAAAACATACACTTTCATAATCATAGCCATTATTGTCCCCAGGGGTCTCATGCATGCAGAAGATGTTAAAGCAAGTCAGGGAGCATCTGCTGCTCCATTCATGGGATTCATCCTTTAATCCAATGGTGCAGTCTGAGAGCCTCTCTTGGCCTTTGGTATCCATAAAATAATTATATAATCAAAATGGAAAATGAAATAAAAAATAAAAATATATATTATATAATGGAAAAAAAACCCAAGTATAATGAAAATGAAAAATAAGGGACAACTATCTCTAAAGCAGATGCTTGCATCACATCCTGCCCATCCCTGCTCCGTTCCTTCGTTCCTTCGACAATCCACATTCATCCAAATTAGAGTAGCTACTTTCCCTTCCAATTCTACCCAGTTTAACCCTTGCTAGTGTACTTGCCAGGGAAGGCTACTTACTGACAGGGGTTTCCGGGAACGCTGATTATCAGAGCCCAAATCCAGACCACTAAGTCAGTTCGTAAAGGCCAGCGAAGAGCAGGAAAATGGAAATTACTTTCAGCTATTACTAATCTGCACCAGATTTGGGTTGGAGGCCAACAATAAAAGGCTCTGTATCTTATTACTCATCACTTGAGTCCCTTGTTCCCCTTGTTCTTTAATTAACTTTTGTTATTTTTTTAACTTTTGTTATTTTAAAGAGTGCTTTTGGAATGTTTTCACTTAAGGATAGGAAATGATGATCTTTGTTCACACTTTTAACTTTTTTGTTGTTGTTCTGTTTCTCCTTAGGGATGCAGATCTGTTCCTGTTAGACACAAGGAAAGCCCAAGCTTTAGATGTGGGTTGGCTTGTCTTTGATATCACTGTGACCAGCAATCATTGGGTAATTAATCCACAGAATAATTTGGGTTTACAACTCTGTGCAGAAACAGGAGATGGTAAGCAATGAATTTCAAATATTTCTTTTGGGGCGTTAGTTTTGACACATTAAGAGTTACAGCTTTCTATATAATTTAACCAAGATAGAATAGAATGTTTTATACTTATGATGTGCAAGGTAGCACCTGCCGTAGGATAGTGCAATATATTAATTAGTTAATTGATTTGTAAACGTATTTTCCCAACACACGTTTATTTTGAGGCTCTGTAGTGGGGATGGAGTGGTAAAGAAGAATTAGATATTGTTTCTGGATCTCAAGAAGTTTTTAATCTAGTATTGAAGATGTGTACACAAACAAGTAGCACTACTGTAATATAATAATTCCAAAAGACAGCTATATACAAAGTGCTATGGATCTATGTCTTGATTATGGTAGTTATACAACTATATAGTTTGTAAGAATTTATAAGCTGTACATTGAAATAAATATTATTATTTGTAAAAGATATCTCAAAATGACTAAAAATAACAAAGATATATATATGTATATATATATTATGTATACAGTGGTGTTAGGGAAACAGGCAGAGGGGCTATTAATAATACAAAGGGAGAAGGGAAGATGGAGATAGAACAAAAGAGGCACAAAGTACTGCAGAAAGTAAACATCGTTAGGTCTTAACATATTCCAATATTTGGTCAAAGACAACAGCTCCAGAAACGCCTGTTGGGTGGGAGGGTCTGTAGGAAATCTTCATTTTGAAGAAGCTCCAGAAATTATTGGGCTCCCAAGTATTCATTGAGCACCAGTGTGTGGTATGCTTGGCTAGATGCTGGAGATAAAACGGTAAGCAAGTGCAGAAGTGACCTCGTGAGGCTTGCAGTTGAGTGAGGCTCAGGTAGTGAGCACATAGGTATATTAGTGAACGGGTGATACTGCATACTGAGAAGAGCCCAATGGATTTACAAGTATAGATCAGTGAGTGAGTCTAAACTACAGTCTTAAAGATCAGGAAGGTGTGATTAGGGGAAAAAGTCAGGGGCAGGCCCTTTCAGACAAATGCAACAGAACTGACCAAGACTGCGGTAAAAGGGGCCTTTGCACATTCTAGCAGGAGGCCAGGGAAGCCCAGACCAATTTATTCAGAATCTTGTCATCCTTTGATCACTCAAAGAGTCCAAAAATTTTATTTTATTTATTTATTTATTTATTTATTTATTTATTTATTTATTTATTTATTAAAGATTTTTATTATTTTTATTTTTTTTTATTCATGAGAGACAGAGAGAGAGAGAAAGGCAGAGGGAGAAACAGGCTCCCAAGGAGCAGGGAGCCCGATGTGGGACTTGATCCCAGGACCCTGAGATCATGACCTGAGCCGAAGGCAGACGCTCAACCATCTGAGCTACCCAGGCGCCCAGAGTCCAAAAATTTTAAATCCAAATCTGGGCTTTCAAGTCATGTAAAATTACATTTGTCATGATAAGAGGATAGAACATAATTTATTTAATGATTTATTAGTACTTTTTACATATTTAGATGTAGACCAAGTGGGCTTACATTGTGCTTTTGCATCACACCCTGCGAATGTGAGGGCCAGGCACAGGGAGGGTAGTTTATAAAGGGATGATTAATTAGAGGGTGTGCCTTATTTAAGCTTTACTGCCTTTAGTTTTCTGCAGGCTCAGGCAATAGACACCTTAGCCCTAGAGTTTGCCCTACTCAGTCCTCTGCTATATTACACTAAAGTCTCGCTTAAAAAATACAGAGTAAAGTAAAAGTTAGGTCTGACTTGGATCTCTTGCAAGGGCATTTATTGCTATAAGCAATAGGACTTCAGAGTGACATTGTTTTACCTATATAACCAGATTTACAGCCTAAGAATAATATTATAACCAATGTTGGTACTCCAAGGATTGCATATATGAAATGAGGTTGACAGATACAAATTAAATTTATTACAGAGTTCATCTAGTGAAAGTTTCACGCTTCAGATCTTGATCTAGAAAAAGTTCTTAATGCTGTTGACCAGTTTCAGACATTTTCCCACTAAATCTAGACTTTTCCATAGATTTTAATTACAATGCTGAATTTTAATATTTTTAATGAACAATTCAAATACTTTGAATTATAGGCTATTTTCCAATTATGGCTTTGAGATTACCATTTAGGATTTTCAGAGTTCAAGCATTATAAATGTAGATGGAGAAAAGCCCATACTTAAATAATCTTGCAGGAATTCTTACAATGTTAAACTACTGTACATTTATGGTCAGAAATGTGACTGGGAAATCAGCACTGTGGGGGTGAGCCGTCGTTTCTTCCCTGGTATGTGGCCCAAAGAAGAAAAATTAAATTAGTGGTATGTGTTTCTCCCAGTCTTCTCCTTGGGGAGATGCTTGAAATGTCTAAACAACTCAAGAGATCTATGATATATGATCAGCCTTTTCATTCCCTACCCACTCACACCCCACTTGAAAATTCTGAAATTTCTCTCTTCTGTTTTTTTTCCACTCCTTCTTCTGTACTGGTTCTCTTTGCTTTACTATCCATATAATTTGGCTTCTGTCTTGCTTTTAATTTATAGTTGACTAGTTCTTGGGAAGAGAAGGTCTCTTCCCAAGAATATTTTATATTTTGGAGTTCCCCCCTCCTCGATTTATTTCTCTTATATATATTAATTTTACTTTAAATTATTGTGGTATTATATATGGGGGGCTTTGTGTTTGCTTTTGAATCTAAAATAAATATTTCACTTTTTTCAAAGGCTTCCCAATCTTTTATTTAAGAGTTAGGTTACCTATAGCCTTTGTTACTTTTCTTTATCTCTTTAATATTGTATAATATGAAAATATGAAAATGTTTAAATGTGCTAGGCAAGCTGGCTTTGTGCATTTAAGCAATACTTAAAACAGATTTTCACCAGAGCTGGAGCATATTTGGTCTTGAGAAATAAAGTGACCCTCCTGGCACCTTAGTTTTATTAACTGCAACCTCACGGAGAGTCTACTTGTGACATATCTCTATTAATATGGATAACCAGGTGCTTCAGCTTATTATTGCTTCATTCATTACTACTGCTGATGTTCTCAACATGATACTGCGATATTGCTTCAAACAGAGCAGACAAACTATCTTTAATTTGCAATAATGGATTCTGCGTACATTTACTTCTCAGCAAAAGTAATTGGTAGTCATGACTGGATGATACTCAGGAAAGTTTGCTTTCAAATTCATTTGTGGATTATCTACTTATTCACTTGTTTGACATAAAATTATTGAGTACCTATACAGGGAAGACAACATGTTAAAGGGCAATATAATCTGGGAGACAGACATAGGTAGCTAATTTTAGAAAAAGTCAAGTGCCCTAAATGCTAAAAACAGTGATATCATCAAGACACTCCAGGAAAATGGAAGAGAAAGGATTAATTCCAGATAGGACAGAGCCAAAAGTTCTGTGGTTCAGGTAACTTGCAAGCCAGGTCAGTTGAATAAGGTTCAAAGAAATGGAGGTGAGAAGAGAGGGAGTTGTGAGAATATGTGGAGTGGTGGTGAGAACAGGAAGAGAGAATTCATTCCTGAATGACGAAACACTGTGAGTAAATGCAGAGAATGGCAAAATGGCATTGTATAGTCTGGAAAAAGTCAATAGTTCAGAGTTGGCTAGGACAATATTTATGTCTAAAATATGACTGCAGACGCTATTAGGAAAGTGATTTGGAGGCAAATCATGGAGGGAAAATGAAATCTCACATATGTATAATATGTTCTTGTTGCTTGATCACACGTCATAAAAGAACCAGGCCTGCTGCTTTAATCAATCACAGCAACACCATAGTGATTACATGTTTGAATGAATATCAGTTTCATGAGGTCATAGGATGTGTATTGCTCCTTCACAGTTGCACCCTCTGTGCTTGGTACAATGAAGGTTGTGGGTAGGTATTAGAAACATGTCTTGAATGATCACTGAATGAGTTTTTGACTTAAAAGACTTTTATACGCCACCTGCCACCGAACACCTTACTCCTAAGAAGACATTCCAAAGTGTAACTTTTGGGTGATTATTAACCAAATCAGTTTGGTGTAACTCAGGGGCAGAATTTTGTACCCATCTCTCAGTACAGTAGTTAAAACGGTTTCAGTTATAAGGTGAGGAGAAAATCAATGATGTATATTATTAAATTTTGATTATCCTGCTCCTGCAAAAAAAAAAAAAAAAAAAAAGGAAAGAGGCTGAAGTATATAGTTTGGAAATCAAAAGATTGCTGAAATCAAAGGTAGCATTATGATTCCTCAGAGGAACTGTGAAAACTATGTCAGTTTATGAAATACTCTTTTTAGAAATTTGACAAATGAACTGCTGTGGATTTGGCAGGAGACTTTAAGGATATTTTATTGATTCTTTTTCATACAGAATAATTCTCCAAACTCCACATGTTTGTTTCAGCAAAATAAAGTAAACATATGAGCAGGCTAACAAAAAAGAAACACTGCTGCTTCTTAATGGTCAAATCTAGAGATTCCAGACAAGTGGTTGGATCCACTTGTGCAAAATCAGTTTCAAAGTTCTCAAGCATTCTCTCATGGTGGTTACTAAGTCTCTGTGATAAGATAGGTACTCTTTTTTAAATAGCAAATGAGGGGTGCCTGGGTGGCTCAGTCATTAAGCGTCTGCCTTCGGCTCAGGTCATGATCCCAGGGTCCTGGGATCAAGCCCCGCATCGGGCTCCCTGCTCTGCGGGAAGACTGCTTCTCCCTCTACCACTCCCCCTGCTTGAGTTCCCTCTCTCGTTGTCTCTCTCTCTGTCAAGAAATAAAATCTTTAAAAATAAATAAATAAATAAATAAATAGCAAATGAGTAGGCTTAGGTCTGGTTTATAATTTATTGTAATATTTTCAGCTCACCAAATTATAAAAAAATACATTAATTGTCTAACTTATTAGGTCTTTATTAAGATTGTTGATAAATCTATGGTATCATTATCCTTTGTACATATACACGTACACAGTTTATTACACAGATAGCAATTTAACTGAGATTTTAAGACTT